GTACCTATGTGGTACACCACCTCGGTGCGTTTTTCAGACGACTCAGGCTTATGAAGACTTCAAGCAGGTTTGGTAAATGCATCAGTAACAGAGGTGCATTGAAGAATTCAGTTAACATATTACGTGCTTATAAATACACAGTCGAACGATTTAAACTTGGGTCGCATGTCTGATTTGGTATCCGACAATCAACCTGAAGTGGACCTGAAGGAATCCATATGATCTGACCAGGCTACTGTAGACGTAATGCACTATTTACAAGGTTACTGCAAACTCTCGACAGCCCATGACAGGTTTCGCCCTTCTTGGGGCTCTTAAGGTGGGCGCAGTCCCGGCGTTCCCGTCAGCCTTATGTTTCACTTGAACTTAAATTGCTTAATAGTAGCATCTTGAAAGCGATACTCAGTTGGATTCCAGGTGAGTCTCCCGTTAAAAATTGGTATACACATGAGGCTAATATAGTTTTAAGGTCGATTATCGATCGGCACCATAACTAGCGTTACTGAAATGCATTATGAGGCTTAAAAGTATCGCAAATAGTTTCCTACAAAATGGTTACTGGAAGCCAACCCATTTACTCATGAGACAAGCACCAATTCAACGGTACAATGGACCAACAAAGAGGCAATGAAAATAGTGGGACAGGATCATGACTTGCGAAAAGGAGAATAGATGTGAACAAGTGGTAAACGTTACACGCTGTCGTCAGTACGATCGATTTCATAACATCCTTGAAACTTTCTTCTGAGAAGTCATCACTCGAGCAGCCGGTCAATACGTGAAAATCGACTTTCTAAGATTGCTGAAGGAAAACTTAGGTGCACAATTTCTTTAGATACATACATATCCTTCTCTGAAACCTATTTCCTATACTCTCATAGTTTGGCTCAACGAACGCTGATTTGTTTTTTTCTCAGATATCTCCATGGTTTGAAAAAGAACGCAGTGACGAACAATAATGTTTTCGGGATCTCATCATCAGGTTAGTACATGTCTAATCGTTAAAATAGGAGCGGAAAATGCACTACGCAGCGAGGATTGGCTGGTGAAATGCAAAACGTGGAGACATGAACGATTGGCGATCTGCGCCCCCCCCCCCATATTGCATCTCGTTGGATGCTGTGAGACAGTCCAGAGGGCCCTTGAGTGACTTGGCCAGTTGATTCGTGTCACACGACCAAGACAAACTCAGCATCGTACGAAGCGTTTTTGATAGTACAGTACCTGGTTTCGCAGGTCTCGGCTGTTGTCAACCGACGCCGTTGGACATATACTGGCAGTCTAATCGGTACATGGTAAATGACGTGAAATGACTCATTTAGAATGAGTACGTGCCCGGTGTCAATAAGGAGGGATGCAATTGAGCTTCTGGCTGAACCACTGAGGCTAAGAGTATTCCGGTAAGAGATGTGCTCCCGTATTCCCTTAAAAAGTTTCCACTGGTTTTTGTAGTCGGGCTGGACAACTGAGTCTAGAATTAGTGCACACAGTTCATACAAGACAACGTAGTCTTCAAGTAAATGGAGAAGCTGTTCAATGGAACCAATTATGGGATGGAATGTGTGTGTAGATCTGACCGTCAATTGGCAACTTCACCAATACGAAACGTATCTGAAACCTACTGGCTCCTTATCCGCGGGTAGTTGCATACCTACTTAGTCGAATAAACTGTCATCCGGAAGGAATCATCTCCGCGCCGACCGTACGCCGTTCAGACAGCCAAGCAATCTATAGAAGCTGAAGTGAGTGCTAGCTAGAGTGTCTCTTCAATCGTTCCTCCACTATTACACATTAAACCGCTCATCCTTGGTGGCACTGTGTCGCAAATTACGGTGGCTATCCTGTGAAATAGTGTCACCGGCTTCAGAACTGCTTACATCACATAGTACTCACCAAACCTGATTAAGTGCTTCTTGGCTTTTCGGCATAGATTGGTATCACTGACAGGGCTAAATCTATATTGAACTCAACCGAATTTCGCCATTTTGCTAGGAATATATTCAATTCCTGGTTTTCACGTCAAACGAACAGAAAGGAACAGTTCCATTTGCGTGCACCGGCGATACATAGTCCTGTGGAGCGATGGACGTACTTACTTTCCACAAGGAATGCGCGATCAGGTCTGGCAGGGTCTCTGGTGGTACCTTCTTGCCACACGACTCATCGGTGATTAGTGCCTCTTGCTGGGTAAAATACACAGGGCAGTTTATGATTCAAGATGGTTTATCGGATGCCCCCGCTAATTACTGGTGGTTTAACATCTCACGCTGCACCACATATTAGGTGGTGACATTTTCTGGATCACATGCAGTGTGTAACAGCTGACCCGTCAAAACAGGAAACTGTTGAGGGCAGGTTGTTAATTCTATTCACTGTATGGGTCAGTGCAGATCAAGTTTGCTTGGAGAAATTGCGTATTGTTAAGTGGCTAGAACCGTTTCAGCCAACGATCCACCCGAGGTTAGGAATGTCGGGTCTGTAGGTGCGTCGAATGGATATAGCGATACCGCATCAACCCGAAATTAGAGTGCATGCGTCAAAAGATGGACACAGGCAGTTGATATACCATTACATGAATCCGTAGGCATCATAATTTAAGGTTCAGATGAAGTTGCCTGACACCTATGTGATGTAGACTGATGGCCTGCTGAAGAAAACTATGGAAGGGCACGTTGCTTGCTATATGAATGCCTCCTGAGCCAGGTAAGCCATTTTGAAATAGAGGCCGATCACGATCCAGCTTCGCTGATGTCATGTCATCGCTACGCTGGTCAGCGCGCTGACCTGAAAACAACATTTAAGATAGTCATTTACGCTGATGGCACCGCTTGCTAAACTAAGTCGAAGCTCTGGAAGTTACATGCCATATGGCAGGCCTGTATGCACGAAACAATGGTGTCCACTGGCCAATTTAACAAAGGTCGGTTGGTTGTCGAAGAGTTCTCAGCAACCTTATGAGTAGTGCTCTTTCAAGAACGTAAAGCTCGATCATCGTCACAACTGAAACATTAGTGGGTCTTTGTACAGCACATTTAGTTGAAAAATACCATGAACGAGAGATTCGGTTGAGTCTCCCGTTAAGACCGACTTGGTGTGCAAATTAGTGTTTGGTGGAGTCAATGATGTCTCATTCTCTCTCTCCATCCTCACCGCTACTCTCAAGTCTGACCTCGAGATCTCCAGTTATTTCGTTCTACTTTTGTTAGCTTCATCTATGTGGCGCATTAGGCGCCACCTGTCTCAAGACATCGCTACTGAGATTCTCGGTTGTACGCTATGCAAGCCTTTACACCCTCTTTAACGTTTCTCGAGGGGATATGTGCAACTGATAGATAAGCATTCACTTGTAATCAACAGATGTGTCTCATTGAGTTTCGGAAACTCATTCAGCCCCTTGGATCGATCCAGGTACACCATAAAACAACAAGGGATGCATGTGTAAACAGTTAATCTGTGTTATTTGGGTAACTTGTCAAGACTAGATGCATCTGGTTCCATCACGTTACCATACACCGATGCTTTTTATCTTGCTAAACCAAGCCCATCCTTTTCATCCGCCCTTTATCACAAAACTTGCGTCGTTGTCCTGTGCTTCCGTCGATACTATTGTATTGCCTTCAAATCTTAGAGGGACAGCTTGTAGTTTAAGCCTCGAGTGGCAAGCCAGTATATCTGCACTCACAGGGGTCGAGTTTAAAATTAAGCCTCAGTAAAACCTTTCACGTTTGTCCTGGTCTGTAAACACAAAGGCACATGCAGCTATCGTATCTCGGCTGGGTTGGAGAACAGACGAGCCAACAAACTCCAATGCGGCCATCCCATAAATAATTGGACCATGGTAAATTAAGTCTCACGTCACTATTCGGCATCGGAGTACAAAATTATGATTTGAACTGAGTAGAAGAATTCACGTAAAGGCAATCAACAACTTAGGAACGTTCTTGTAGCAGGGGTCGAGTTTAAAATTAAGCCTCAGTAAAACCTTTCACGTTTGTCCTGGTCTGTAAACACAAAGGCACATGCAGCTATCGTATCTCGGCTGAGTTGGAGAACAAACAAGCCAACAAACTCCAATGCGGCCATCCCATAAATAATTGGACCATGGTAAATTAAGTCTCACGTCACTATTCGGCATCGGAGTACAAAATTATGATTTGAACTGAGTAGAAGAATTCACGTAAAGGCAATCAACAACTTAGCAACGACCTGTTCTTGTAGAAACGTTTTCCGCATCGTTGGACGACTCATTTTCGGTTTCGTGGGGAACTTTACCGAGAATTTTATGGGAAACTCGAAAGATCCTGAACGCAATGTGCACCCTGCTGAAAATGTTTACTGCAGATGTCAGCTTTATATAGATGGACAGTTCAAGGTAACTGGAATGGTGACAACAAATACATCGATTAGTCGAAGGCACGCGCGGAGAGGAGCTGAACGATAGGTGATGCACTGGTCCTTGAGTGCCCTGAAAGTAGTACTTGCAGCATGCAATCGGTTTCAGGTTTTCACCAGATGTGTTATTATATCCTTTTGGTACATATCTAATTCGGCAGTACTAAATAGTATTCCTTGACGGATAACTTGACTTATGAGCTATACTTGACCCAGCGGGAATGGGGTGTTGGCTCTCTCCCGCATCTTGTCGAACGATGTCAAAATTCCAACTGTTACGTGCAAAGTAAACACTCAGGATGGTTTTGTGTTGAAACGAGTTGCACACCGAAATTCTATCAGCAGAATAATACCTGGGGCTTTTTATGCACGATTTACAGGGTTTTACTTTACCTAATCCAGATGAGTGTCTGAATGAGAATTCTGGTCAGATTTCTGATAGCTGACTGCCTTTGTAACAAACCTGTTATTTTGAATTATTGATGACGGAAACATTGTCAAAAGCAGATTGTCTTGAATTTTGGTACAAACAACGGAATTCATCGCGAACCAATGTCTTCCACACTTTGGATCACTTCATTTTCTGAACATCCAGTTGTTTTTTTACCTGCAGAAATATGCTGCTTTAACACACTAACAGCATGATTCAGCTGCGTGAGTGGCCTGACACAAGACCATAAAAACCCGTGGGAAGTTTTCATTCCTACACCTTCTAAGGAATTTTTTGAGCAAACTGGTGACATTGATTCAAATGCCCGTAATCCACCAGCTGTCTTGTTGTGATGAACGACTGTAGAACTGTTCAAATCAGGATGCAATTTGATTTCCACATCACCAGTTTGAGCCAGGTGCTCTCCGTCGCAATTGACGATGGTTGACATTGCTTTATCAACCCACACCTCTTCATTATTTGACTGAACATTTTGGTTTTGGTCACAATACACTTGGGTTCCAATAACACTGTTTGGTCGCTGTACTTTTTCCAGAGGACATAGTCCTTGGTCCATGTAGTTCTTCACAAGTTCATCGAGAAATTCACTGTCTAGTTCCTTGTCATTTGCCAATGCGCTGGTCGTAATGCAATCTATAAGGTAATCGATGTCCCGGATACTCAGATTTTCCACGCTTGGATCCTTAACTGTTAGAGAACTGATAGCTTTCCTATAGACAGTTTCGTAACGTGGACCATCATAGGTGGTATGCGATACTTGGTCCCCTGAATCCTTTTGACTTTGAGCTCTTTGTATTTTCATGCTGATGGGTCTAACATCGCTTGTTCCCAATTCGACTTTTTCATCGTTATACAAAGATACTGTATCAGTAATGGGTCCACAAGAATAAGATGATGTGTATGTGTGTCCAGGAGGATCTTTATTGTTCGGATAAGTCTGGAACAGTTTGGATTGCTGTCCAGTCAGGTGAACTTCTCCATCGATCGACTCTGGTTCTCTTGTGTCACCATCTGTCGACATCTGGGGCTGTTTCATAGAATCGGTATCCGTCATCAAATTGTGTGATGCTACCGACTGGTTTAGAAAGCTATAAGGAGACTTTGGTACATCCGTAGAGGACACTGGTCTGCCCGTGTAGTGGGGTTCCAAGTTTTTCCTGCTCATCCAAATGCTACCCAGTAACTGAACCTTTTGCTTAGGGTCATCCACCCTACTCACCATATCTTGGATCTTGAAAGTGCTAGGCTGCAGCGATTGTCTGATTCCGGATTTTAGTTTTTCAACTTGACCGTTGTGGAGTACGCTAGTCATCCGAGAAAAATAAAATTTGTATTTCGATTGGGGAAACCTATTAAGACCGCTTCTGGTTGAACTTGTGAGATTCGGAATGTGCATTTGTTTTATATGTGCTAGTTTACTTCTTTCCCTCAGTTCGTCCACAATTTGCGACAACACATCAACCGACCGAGTAAATGATATCATAATACCAACCTTGGATTCTACAGTTCGGTGTTCGTTTATGTTCCGTTCATCGCCGCGCTCTACAGTTGATTTGCTCCTTACCGGGACAAGAGCCTTGTCCTGTGAATAGTCTCGACCAACGATGTCTTGTTGTTTAATGAACTCTAGAGCAGAGGCCAATTCCTTCACATACATTGCTGTGACACTATCTAGTAGATTTGTTTCATTCAGGACTCGAAACAGCAAACTTCCGGCCTGTCCGAAAATATTGGATCTCGCTTTCTGGAGAAGAATCGCATACAAATAGAACAACAGTGCTGCACAGATGTAGCAATCACGAGTCCACTCATTTGTCTCATTCCAGCATGTATGGATATCTTTAAAACTCAGAAATAACAAGTGAGCTGTTGAATGTCTACCAGTCGTGGATGCTCCGGGTCGGAAATGCCCATTCCTCAAAAGGAGCTCCATGCATTGTATTAGAGGACCACCTATCCGACATTCTCGGTCGACGTAAATCGCTGTGTGAAGTAGTCGACGGAGAAGGGAGTACGTATGCGACTTTTTATTTTCATCCAATTTTCCTGGGGAGTAAAAACCAGGGCATTGATGGATCAGCACATTCAGAGTTTTGACGACATTGATGTATCGATCTGTCGGCGCCAACTCAGTGGTATAGTGAAATATATCTTCATAAACCGTGGTACGCTGAATTCGCCTGCTCAGGTAACGTATAGAAAATGGAGTGCGAGGTGAGCACGATAAGCATTTCTCACAAGTCACTTGAAACAGAACGGGTAGGATTTCCAGAAACTGTCTTCTTACTGCGATACACGGAGGTAAGATCTCTAGCAAGTCTCCTCCGTTGTACCCTTGCAACTGCACAAATACATCTGAGGCGTAACTATATTCCGTGGGCTTGCACAGGTTTGAGTTCAACAGTATTTTAACAGCACTTTTGCGCTTCATATAAACGGCTAATCCTAATGGTCTTAAGTAGAGAATAGCCGTGCCATTATACAGACATTTTGTATCACACGGGTCTGCCATTATTTCGGACGGGTTGTCGAATATTTGGAACATATGTCGAAACAGATTTGGTCTTTCCTTAAGCATGGCAAGCAAACGGTTGTCGGCTCCATTTCTAAAAGTGTTGATCAACCATTTGGTGGATGGGTGATTATACGGAATGTAACTCGGCAGCGTGATAGCACTGGATTCACTGACAGATACAGCGATGGAGGCATGTGAGACCATCTTGTGGGACCAGCTTTAGCCCATTATTTGATAGAAGCTGTCCTCATATTCCTCTAACCATTTCGCACGCGTTGTGTCCAGTACCTTGTTCAACCACTACTGATCGATACGACAAGTGTGACGATCGATATACTTCACGCCTACCCCGTTGGTCACATTGTTTCAGATCTATTATAAGGGCCCAAAGATATGCTGTACAATCCTTTTATTCAAAACCACTTTTTCTGTATAATAAGGGGTTTGGCTTGCGCGGAAAACCCACGAGTTTATAAGTAATCACGGAAACGTCAGATGAGAATTTAATTTGATGGATATTGCAGTGAGCTGGCCAGTTATAGAGGTCTGAATTGCATCACCTGTCTGCTCGGCGCTCCTGCATAGCGACACTCGGTTGAAGAAATACCGAATAGTGCGCATAACCTGGAACAACAGGTCAAGCATTCTGCGGCGAAATAAATAATGAAATAAGGTGACGCTTTCTTGAAATCATGGGACAGTAGATCGCGCAACACGCAGAATAATGCATGGTACTTTCCGCAGTTTTTTCGTGGATGTTATTCGAAATAAAATTCTAAGAAACCAGAACATATCTACGCAAGAGCCTGATGGGATTTTCTAAATTCGGTTGACCTGTTCAGCTGATCACTACTCCTTCGACCCACCAAAGGAAACCTGCATTATGAAAGCGAATTTGTGGTGAACTGTACCAGGTCACGTACAAAGAAGGATGACCATGTTAACACACCATTTGCCGTATTTCACTGTGGTGGAATATGATGGATAAATTCGTTGTTAAGTGTTCCGTCCGATCGTGGAACTTTTACGATCACCATTGGATTTTCAGTCTAGCCGGTCAATCCGGCTATATTCCGTACGATTTTCTTCAGAAATCCCATTCTGGCAAAGGAAATGCCTGAGGCCTCTTTATGAATACCCAGGAGTGCACAACAGTACAATGAACAAGACCGAATACTTGCCAGCTAGTGAGTCTGGGAATGCGATAACAAACCGGGATTCAAATAGTGAGTTGTCCGCTGTTTTGAGACGGTTAACAGAAGAACCCATTAGGAAAGCTTCCAAAAAACGTTGAATTGGTAGTTCGGTCAGTTTTCAAAGTATTGACAAAATTTCATTCCCGAAATTGGCTCAATAGAGGATATATATATATATATATAGCCTTTTATTGTTTTTGTACTTTATCAAATGGGTAATCAGGGGTATAAACACAGTATACGAAATTTCTTTTGGATTTACTCAAAGAAGGATTTTAATAAGAGGTGGTGAAGGTCTCGTGAAACACTAATTCGAAAATTAAGCTGGTTTCAATGAAACACACAGTTGAATCTATCTGAATTTCTCGTTCCTACTGTTCTTCAGCCGAATGTGCTGAACAAAGGCTGTCAGCTGAGATGACACTCGAGACACTGCAGTACATTTTCTTGAAAACTGAGCTAACTTTCGGTGCCTAACTGCCATGTCACCAGAGGGCTGGGATACTGCCAGGTTACCCAAGTCTAGACATGGGAAGTCGAGAGACAGAGATCGGATTCGAATCACAGACCTTTTGGTCCGTAAATCGTTCTAACCACTAAGCCATCTCTTGATGGAACACCTTATGTTCCACTTGAACCCAAGTTGGCCGCAGTTCACAAAATACGGCAGACTTAACTGAGTCCCAGCCGAAGAACTTGTTTAGCACATGGCATTGTCGAAAACTTGAGGACTACGCCACCCGATGGACCCAAAGAAGGAGGAAACTGACCGCAGGCTGTCGAGAATTTTTCGGCATCCTTATGACCGGTGCTGGGGGTTGCTCTAGTGCAGTGGCTCTCGAATTTTCCCATCCACCGTATAATCCGTCTCTGATCCGCTAGCGTCCCTCCATTTTCCAGGTATTACTTAAGAGAGGAACAATTAAATGAAACCTTATTGGTTTGTCGCACTGTAAAATGCCGCATTAGATTATTTACTATCGCCAGCATTTAGATGGCGTCAGATAAAAAAGAGCTTTGTCCTCTGCGTACTCGATAACTGTGAGCAAACAACCTATCAGCATTTCAACCCCACACGCATTAGAAGCTGGGAGTACGTCACCACAACAGTGGCAAAGTTGCGGAGGAAAAGTTAAACAAGACAGCTCTGCCCGATACCACTTGATTCAGCGGATTTAACTGACAGCTTTCTGTTGACCTTCACACGTTCATTGAAGTTAGTGCACAGTTCCTTAAGGAAGTATTTATGGGAGACATCCTGAGTCTCTACCCGACAGTCCAGAGCCAAAGATAGCTTTCAAGTCAAGGAAGGCCACATTATTGGTTGTAGCTGTTTCAGAATCTGTCGTATGGTAACAAAACGTAATCGAAGCATTCCTTTGGGGATAGAACCCAGCTCGGTTTCCACGAATCTTTCTCACCCTCTGTTCAGTTAGCCTCCGAAGGACAAGACCACGGAGCACCTTCGATAACATAACTACCAGGCTCATGTCACAGTGGTTTTCGCACAGCGTGCGTGTACCCTTTCAGAAGATCAGAATAGCTGTCGACATGCACAAATCTGCTTGCACTTTCTCTGCTTCCTATATAGTATCAATCAGATTTGTTAAATAGGTCATCAGGGATTCTCCGTCTTCTTTGAAGAGGGCTGTCTGGTCCAGGAGAATGCACGTTTCACTACGGATATTTCGTACCATATTTCTTCCGAAGGGCGATTAGGCCTTACACTCCATTCGCCCTATCTCCATGCACTACATCCAGAGGCTGTGTTGCAGGGGGCCAGCTAGATCACCCTTCGAAGTGTTAGATCCATCTTTCCAGTCGATTGTTTCGCGAATGAATTATGAGTATCCTTTTTCACTTATCGTTTCACTGCCCATTGCATTCCGAGCGTTGGAGATCGTATCAGTTGATATGGGGCAAGGCTGTTTCAATCTCCCGATCTTTCGATGTCCACTAGAGTTCACGGTTTTTCTTTAGCCTCTTCACCATTTCGTCTTTGAGAGATTTGCCTGTGCCGTCGGTATCGTCGGATTCTGGTATGGAGATCCCGGTATCAAACAGGACTAGCGATCCTGACAATATACAGTTTTCATTTGATCGTATCGGACAAACGGCAGTGAGCGCTGCTAGCATAGCTCATTTCACATCTTACCGTGCATCATTCACGTACCATCTCTCAATAGTGTTGACTTAATGCAGTTATTGAGCCAGCTCGGGTCGATACTGCTGAGCTGTAGTAGTTCTTCGCCACAGGAAAAGAAAAACCAGCATGAATTATCATCCGCGAAAACATTGGTCCGAGGTCCTGAGCAGGTTAATGGGATGCAAGAAGCATATAAATGGATCAGAAACAGGGCTAACAGAACACCACAAATGTGGTATCATCATCATGAACAACATAGCATCAGTGTTTAACACAGATGCTAAGCTTACAACCAAAATTTACCTAAGCGCCTTGATACGAAGAAAGTAATAAACATGGATGAAGGAGGAAGTTAAAACTAGCCTATCACAGTCATTCCGTGGTGCCTACACCCTCGAAACTTCAGTCAGTCAATTGGGATAGAAACTGACAACACGAAAGCAATTCACATCGATTGGCAGGCAGCGTAACCAAAAGCGAACAGAGATCACGACGAACCCGTTCTGCAAAGCGAGTCGAAAAGATAGCTCGAGACTTTTATTGGTTTTATGTCCCACATTTGGGTAAAACGTTGAATCCTCCTCTGCTTGAGCCACCATCACTTGCACAAAGAAGAGAGAAAACTACTCAAAAAAAGGATGAATTTACGTATAAACACTACCAATTTAGTACTCGTGGCATCTCACGAAAACATGTTGCACGCCATTGTTAACAATTTCCCAACGTGAAGCTTGCGGGTCCGAACCTCCTGAATTTTGTGAGATGCGCATTGTGTAATATTTTCAGCGAAGATTAAACAGTCGTACAATGCTTCTAGGCTTCGCAGCTGGCCTCACTGGCAGGAAGGAATCTCTGTTGAACACTACCAAGTCTCACATCATCATCGATCAATAAGTAGCTCTGAAGAAAAACGACTTCGCAAGATGAGCAGAATTTTCTTCAGAGAAGTTGTCATTCGAGGAGTCAGTCAATACGTGTCCACGTGATGTGGTTTCCGTTATCGAATTATTGGCGGCGCTGTATCCTGTCTGAGTGAGAGTTAATCACACTGCTAATCAACTCCCCGTGACCAAACGGTTGTGTTCAACCACTAATCAGCTGGTGCTAAATGTTCGACTGCTCGTGTCCATCTTTTGATGCATGCACTCTAATTTCGGGTTGATGCGGTATCGCTATATCCATTCGACGCACCTACAGACCCGACATTCCTAACCTCGGGTGGATCATTGGCTGAAACGGTTCTAGCCACTTAACAATACGCAATTTCTCCAAGCAAACTTGATCTGCACTGACCCATACAGTGAATAGAATTAACAACCTGCCCTCAACAGTTTCCTGTTTTGACGGGTCAGCTGTTACACACTGCATGTGATCCAGAAAATGTCACCACCTAATATGTGGTGCAGCGTGAGATGTTAAACCACCAGTAATTAGCGGGGGCATCCGATAAACCATCTTGAATCATAAACTGCCCTGTGTATTTTACCCAGCAAGAGGCACTAATCACCGATGAGTCGTGTGGCAAGAAGGTACCACCAGAGACCCTGCCAGACCTGATCGCGCATTCCTTGTGGAAAGTAAGTACGTCCATCGCTCCACAGGACTATGTATCGCCGGTGCACGCAAATGGAACTGTTCCTTTCTGTTCGTTTGACGTGAAAACCAGGAATTGAATATATTCCTAGCAAAATGGCGAAATTCGGCTGAGTTCAAAATATATTTAGCCCTGTCAGTGATACCAATCTATGC